AGTAGAAATTCATTTATGGAACTACCCACCCTTTAAATTTGCTTGTTTAAGAAAATCACAAGGTGTCTGCTAGTCTGATGTGTGCTTGCATATTTGATATTAAACATTCCAAATGAAACTATAATCCATGCCAAAGCCCACACCTTAAACAGCTTATGTAGAAAGACTACAACTGTATTTGCAATAATTTATTGCCATGTTATAGTAAAGCTAAGTAATAATTAACATTCTGAAGGAGCTACTCAATGACAAACCTGTGTCACTAGGTGTGTGTACATGAGGGTAGGTACATGTATAGTGACGATGATGTCTCTTTTCTAGGAACTCCTAATTTCTACAATGTGCTTTCTATCAATGGTCAGAAAGTAGGACTCTAAGGTTGTGTTAATAATTACATGGAGGCTATAATGGAGAGACTTACAAAGTGCTTTTAGGGCACAGAGGAGCAAATTATTCTTAGTTGTGGGGACAGAGGAAGATTTTGAAGAAGATGAATAGAACCTAAATTCTTAGGATTGGTTCAACTTTGACAGGTTGACGAGGTGATAAGGGATTTAATGAATGGTCTGGAATGACAGGGGAAAGGGTTATAGGAAATAGGAAAAGGGTGCATCTCCAAATAAGGGGGAAAATCCTCTGAATGATTGTTTTCTCTTTCCTGATTGCCATACTTTTTAAACTTTGTATAGGAAGTAGAAGAGAAATCTATTGAACCAATTGTTTTGGCTGTTCTAATGAGATCACAGCTTTGCTTATATGGATTATCAAGTAAAGGATGAGCTCATAAAAGGATATTAATGTGTCATTTTTATTGAACAAAGTGGCATTACAGAAAAGGTGATTTCAAAGGCACATGGTTCTTTTATTATAGCCTTCAGGGGCAATGTTTGATCACTGAAAACAGGCTACTTTGTTCCAGCTTTCTCTGATGTTGGCATTATCCTGAATACATATGCTCTGGCTTGGAAAGAATCAATCTGTAAAGATTTAATAGATTTGAGATTTGCATATTCAAAATACAGGTCTTGTTGAAATGATATGAAAAGTATTTTAATATCTATGTATACACAAAAACATAGTTCAGACATCTTGGCAAATTTTTTAAAAGGCAATTGCATACATGATATGTGTTTTTTCTGAAATTATGAAAGTTGACTGTTTTTAAAATGAGCAATTTTTATTTTCACTGAGGAAAAACATATTTTAAAAGACATTATATTGGTATCAACTATAAGAATTCTCAAACTTCAGAAATTTGAGATTTGCTATATGTTCTCCCCCATCATGCACATAACTTTCTAGTGTTAGGCATCACTGAATAATTTTTATTAAAAGTGAGTTAACTGTTTTCATTCTTGGGAGTCACAAAGACTTAAAGATAAATGTTAAAGATTAGAATTTGCATGTGGGTCTTTCCCTTATATGATGGGAAAAGTGATTTTCTTTTTTGCAAAAGGAGAAAGATGTTTAGAAAGAACTAAAGGGCCAAAAACTTTCCTTCCGGCGACTAAAATACACAGCATTTTCTACCCATTGAATTCTCTGGTTTCTCCTCCATGTGAACTGATAGGTAATCTCAAATAAATCTATCTTTTAATTATAAATTTCAATTAAAACTTTGAAAGAAAGATGACAGTCCAAGTAACTCAGTTTGATATAATCACATCTACAATTAGACAGTATTGCATTGAAATTAAGCCAAACAGATTTCATTTGGAATAAGTTAAATTACATTCTGTTACATGTAACAAAGAAAAATCATACCACTTTCCTGCTTAATATCCTTCCCTTTCCCAGGCTCTACCTACAATATCCTCCACCTTAATGACATGAATGCTTCCACTGTGTGGCATGGCCTTCCTTCTCTGCTTAGTTTTGCAGCAATCTCAGAACAGATACTATTTCAGTTATACATTTGTTGCTTCAACCAGTGCTTTACAAACCTTAATGTACTTGTGAACCATTGGGGATCTTGTTAAAAATGCATGTTCTGATTCAGCAGGTCTGAAGACTGGCCAAGGTTCTAACAAGTTCCCAGGTGATGTAGTAGACGCACTTTGGGTAGCAGGCACCTAAATACATATGACCTTTTGTTAAATTGGCATTGGTTTCTGGACCATGATAACTAGAAATGTAGATTCCTTGACTTTGAGGTTATTTCATATTGAAGTTGGAATTTTTGTTTATTGATGATTGCATAAAGATGCTGTATGAACTGGGCCTACTCCTACTCTAGTTTCTGTTCTTACCACTCTTCCTTTTCTACTTACATTTGAAACCTAACAAACTTCTAGAAGTTTCCAGAATGTATCTGGCTTTTTCACATATCAGTACCCTTTTGGCTACTATTTCCTCTGCCTGTGTTAACATCTTGTGATTCTTCCTTTAAAGCTCACTTTAGTTGTCATCTTTTCTAGGAATCTTTCACTAATCTGTTCCCCATATAATTGCTTAGTTAAATGATTCCAATGTGCTCCCACAATACCATATTCTCTATGTTATAGCTTTGGTAAAATTTGTTGTAATTGTGCTTCTGGGGGGAGATAAGAGGCAGTGATGCATTTTATTTACAACCTAACCAGAATGCATGCCACATAGTAGGCTTTCATTAAAGTTTGTTGAATAAATGAGGAGGAGAGGATTATGTGTAATAGTCATACAAAAATATAATACAGTATTTTCCCTCATGAAATTTAAAATTGAATTGGGAGTAATAAAAGCTAAAGTCATAAAATGTTAAATACATGATGAAATAATACTGAAGTTAAAAAGTATTAGCATGTGATTAATTGCCAAATGAGGATCAGAGGAAATAACAATTCTGAGTTCATTGGAGGAAAATGTCACTGTGCATTTATTATTATTTTTTAATATCCCAATTTGTTCTACAGATGACAACACTCTATTGGAGTTAATAAAAAGTATGAATGTTTATGTAGTTAAGGGAACAGTATGAGAAAAAGAGGCAGATGTGGAAGCATATTCTCAAAGCTTGAGGAGTGACACTGGCATGTGTGCAAAAATAGTTCTCATTAGAGGCCTCCCTGGTGATGCAAGGGCTTAAGTCTCAGTACTATGAAGCTATCTGCTGCCACTGCAGCATGAGTTGTATCCCCAGCCAGGGAGCTACCCACATGGCGCAGCAGACCTCTCCTGTCTCACCCGCTACACCCCACAGCAATTTATTTCAGTCAGTCTGCCTGTTCTGTTCCCCACTGTCTCTGGTGAATCCTCTCACCCCCCATACCTCTGGCCTGTACCCCACTTCTTGTATGCATAAGTAAATAAATTTTAAAAAATTATCAGAAGATAAAGCATAAGTCTCTTCTATAAAAAAAAATAGTTCTCATTAAATAATGGGCCTTTGGTTGGTGTGCCAGATTTTCATTTCTGCTCTCTGAGAGGGAGGCTTACTGCTGTGGGTCATCAGCAGCTTCCTTGTCCTCTGATTTCTTACTGAATCTGGTCAAAAGTCTCTCCTGGCAAAGCACCAATGGAAGAAGAGTAAGGTTAGGGCATTTATTTTCTTGTGCTGTCTAGAACTAGCTGTGCCTCTGTATAAGTTTTCCCTTTGTTAAAACTTCCTCAATTTCTTCTTTTTTTTTTTAAAGATTTATTTATTTTTATATGAGAATAGGGGCACAGGCCAGATGCGCGGGAGGGTGAGAGGATTCACCGGAGACAGAGCGGGGAACAGAACAGGCAGACTGATGAAATACACTGCTGAGGGGAGCAGCGGGCGAGACAGGAGAGGTCTGCCACGCCATGTGGGATTATCCCTGTCCGGCTGGGAATCGAACCCATGCTGCAGAGGCTGCGGACAGCTTCACAGAGCAGCACTCAACCGCCTGCGCCACCAGGGAGGCCCCTCAATTTATTCTACTTTGAGAGTGTTCCCTGTTTCCTATTGAGAATAATACAATCAGAGTTGTTGAAGCTAAATTGGATTCCAGGCTTAATAACTTATGATAACCATTAATGGTATATAATTGTATTAGGTAAGAGTCTAAGAGGAGGGGGTTCAGTAGAGGGACAAGGTCAGAAAATAGCAAACAACTCTAAAATCATAGGTTTAAATCCTAGAATGGTAAAGAGGATATAAATCAGATAAGGGAAAACTAATATGCTTCAACACTCACAGTTCTATAATGCTTTTTTATACCTGCTGTTACTTTATTGTTCAATTGTAAAGCAACAATATTCAAGAAATGTTTAAGGGTTGTTTTTTTTTTAATTAAGGTTAGATTATGCAGAAATTTTGTCTTTTCTCTATCCTGTTGTTCATCTTGTGGTTAGTTCACTATATAGTGTCCTAACATCACAAGATATAAAAAGATAACAAATGGATGAAAAGTTCAGCTTTAGTATCTGTGATAAAAAGGTGTGTTGGGAGGGATACTAAAATCTTGAACTAAAATGAAGCTTTTCAGTTTATCTGGACTGGTCTGCCCCCCTTTTGCCATAAAGATATTGAGAATGATTTCCAGCTTGTCAAAAATAAAGACATCAAATGGACAACATATCTTTTATTTTCACATTGATGAAAACAGCCAGGTCTAATAAATAGATATAATGCTCTGGTGTACGGACCCTCTGTCTTTGGATCTTGGATTGTATTACAACCTGGTTTGTGGTACTTACTTAGATTATTGTTGACTCAGATGAGCCTAATTCTGTGATCCAGCAAAAACAGATCAGAAATAGCAGCAGGGAAGACTTGTTTGTAGTTTGACCTTGTAAAGATGAGCTAAAGGTGCTGAGGAAAGCATAGATTCAATTTAAAATACTAACAAAAAAAGATTGTTTGTATTTTGCCCAGTGGATGAAGTGAAAAATCTAATATTTTTCTTGGTACATGCTGTATATTTTGCCAAACTTGATTAAATTCTTGTTTAATAGGTAACTAAGAGAAGAACTGAATAAAAACACTTTATATAAGGCTTTTGATTCATTGTACTTCATTATTTCATTTTTTTAAAGCTGTTTTTGCTCTTCTTTAGGTTCTGTTTATGAAATGTTTGGAAATGAATGTTGTTTGGCAACAGGAGATGTGATTAAAATTACCGGACTCAAAATTAAGAAGATTATAGCTGAAATTTGTGAACATATTGAAGGCTGTGAGACTCCACAACCATTTGAACTGCCTATGAATTTTCCAGGTACATTCTATTGCAACCATTTCTCATTTGTAAAACTGTATTGTTAAGAATTATCCACAGTCTATATGACTGAAACAATGAAAAAGTGGTAGGTTTTTTTTTTTTTTTTTCCCATTCTAGACCAGTGGGTGAAATTTACCACAATTCTTATAGTCCAGTAGTTTTAAGGACTAATAGAGGCAAAAATGTTTCTTCCCTTTTTAATAAATATTCTTTACTTAAGATTTCTTCCTATTAACAAATTCTTAGAGCTTACCACTAATTGTGTTAGTGAGAGTAAAGACATCAAAGATAGATATTCATAAAGTATATAGAACTAATTAGTATCCTTTAAACATATTAATCTGATGTTTTTATTCCTGTTGACATTATTCTAGCTCCTGGGATCCCTGCTAAACGTCTGATCTTACTGACAAATCTGGCTATTTTTCTTTGTCTAGTTAATTCTGTTCAGTCTTCCAAAATCAGCTTAAGGGTCAAGTTTACTGCAAAAATTTTGCTGACCCTCTAACAAAATCTAGATATTGTTCTTTCATGTTCCTATAGTATCATGGACACCAAAGCAGGCATCTTATTGGGTAGTCACCAATGATTTTTATTGATCTTGTTCTCTAGAGCAGAGGTTGGAAAACATTTTCTGTAAAGGACTAGATAGTAAATACTTTAGATTTTGTTGTCAAATGATCTCACTCATGACTACCCACTCTGATGCTGAAACATAAAACTAGCTATAGATAATATATAAACCAATGAGCATGGCTATGGTTCAGTAAGAATTTATATATAAAAAAGATGCTGTCAGTCTTTGCCCATGAATTAGAGTTTGCTAACCTCTGCTATACACTAAAACTCTTTGACAAATAAAATATGACATATAGAACTCTCTATTTCTGGTATCAAGCACATCTTATGACACAGAGAGTATATATTCAATAATTGTTATTTAATGAATGTCTTGATGAAGTCCAGTTGATCATGTTTCTTAACATGGATTTGGTATCACTATATTTATATCCCAACTATGCCCCTTCTTGTGTAAACTTGCCAAGTTATTTACTCTACTCTTATGTAAAAATGGATTTAATAAACTAGTTATACCGTAGTGTTGCTGAGAGGATTAAGTATTAAACTATAGTTAAGGTATTTAGGTGGTAAATATTTGTCATACAGCAAATGACATAAAAACAGTATTAGCTTTGATTGTCATTAATATTATCATCATCATCAGTGGAATCAGGGAAAGATTTTAGAAAATGTTAAACTTGAGCCTCAATTTAGGGGGTAAAAATAAACTAGTTATATGAGGATAGTATTCTTCTAGTTTCCTATCCCTTACAACTGAAATCTTACCCATTGTTCAGTTATTACTATTTCTTCCTTACCTCCATCCTTTACGACAATCTTCTCAAATTTGACTGCACATTAGAATCACCTGGGGAACTTAAAACAAAACAAAACAAAACAACCCTGATATTCAGGACACTTGCTTGAAATATTCTGATTGATTTGTTTTGGGATGAAGTCTGGTCATCAAGGTTGCATAAAGCTCCTCGTTGGTACTAATGAGCAGCCAAGGTTGAGAACCATTACTTTAAAAGTATTCTTGAGAATACTCAAGAAAAAACCCTTTTTGGATGTAAAACCCTTTTTGACCACTGTAGACTTTAATCCCTCAATTACCTGATTTACTATATTTTGCATGCAATTTAAGTTGTTTGTGTGGCTTATGTATGTGTACCATTTGCCTAATGATTGCTGAGGATAGACTCTGAATCTCATTTATTATGACTATCTTCATAGTATTAAAGGAGATATATATATAGTAAATATCTAGTTAATTAAAAATAACTAGCATCTTCTGATAGTTTTTCTTATTAGATCAATTAAAATACTTAGCTTTCGACTAACAGTTTAACTTGTCAACTTGCTGTTTAGAATATATCTTTAAACTTTCAATTGATATGATAAGCTTGCATCAATTTTAGCAATAATTTGAAAATTTTATTTTCAAAACTAGTTTAAATCGAGGGGTAGAGTGATTGGTGATGATTAAGGAATATTTCCTTTCGTAGAGGAATCTTGATGATAATGAAAGCTATCATATATAGAGGAGTAATCCTACATCAGTGCTAGGGAGGAAGATAAAACTCAAGGCCACAAATATTCTTCATAAATTTCAACAGAAACATCTCTTTCTTTATATTCTATTTGAAACTTTTAACTTTGGAATCCCACGTAGATTTTCAGTGAAAAGGTCCCTTATCTTTTTAAAAACATTTCCCCTATTTGCAAATTTCTTCTTATTGATTTATAATTTCATTCTACTATGGTTTGAAGACATACTTCATATTATTTCTATCTTCAGAAATGTTTTGATATTTGTTTATGGCCAAACCTAGTGAAAGTTCAATTTCAACTTGAGAAGATTATCTATTCTGTTGTTCTTGGGTGAAATGTTCTGCAGATGTCTGTTGGTTATAGTGTTGTTCAAGTCTTCTGTTTCCTGTGGCTCTTCTGTTTATTTCTATCCAGTATTGAAAATGAAGTATCACGGTTTCCAACTAGTGTTAAAGTATCTATTTTTCCTGTCAATTTTGTTAGGAAACAAAATTCTTGATGGAGTAAACTTTTTATCACTATACAATAATTCTTATGTTTCTAGTAACAATTTTTGTTTTAAAGTTTATTTTGTTTGATTTTATGTAGTCTCTTCAGTTTTCTTCTGCATACTATTTGCATAGTCTATATTGTTCTTTTACTGCAAACAATTTGTGTCTTTGAATCTTAAGTATGTCTTCTGTAGAGCACAAACAACTTAAATGTTTTTAAATCCATTCTGTCAATTTCTGGTTTTTTATTGTAGTAATTAATTCACTTATACTTAATGTAATTACCAATAATGAAGGATTTACATTTGTCACTGTGCTATTTGTTTCCTTAAGTCTTTTGCATTCCTCTATTCCTTCATTATTGCATTTTTAAAAAATAAATAATTTCTAGTATACCATTTTAATTCCCTCCTAATTAAGACTATTTTTTAAGGTTAGTTTTAAGTTTGCAGCAAAATTAAGAAGATATATAGATTTACAATATATTATTTACCACCAATTATGCACGGCTTCCCAAATATCAAATCTCATAAAACCTTTTCAAGGTTGTTAGCCTATTTTTTTTAATACTGAACAAGATTTTAATGTCTGGATGTACCACAGTTCATTGTGTGAACTGTATGGATGTTGTGTCTTCAACCTGGGTAAATAGTTTCTCACTATTAAGTGTGATAGGCGTAGACTTTGTATAGATATTCTTAATCAAGTTGAGGAAGTTCTCTATTTCTGTTTTGCCAAGTGAGTTTTCTTTAATCTTGAATTAATCTTGATTTTTGTCAAATATCGTTTCTGCATTTATTGATATGATTTTTCTTTTACTTTATTATCAATTACATTAATTGATTTTCAAATGCTGAATCATCTTTGAACACCTGGGATAAATTCCACTTGTTTGTATAGGATAATTCTTTTTATAAATTGCTGGATTTGAATTGCTAACACTTCACTGAATCCTTTTGCATTCATTTATAAGAGAAATTGTTCTGCAGCTGGTTTTCTCTTTGTAGTATCTTTTGCATAGTTTTGGTATTAGTGTTAGTTTCATAAAATAAATAGAAATAAGCCCTCTGTTTCTATTTTCTAAAGATATTATAGAGAATTATGATAAAATTGTCCTTAAATGTTTGGTAGAATTCACCAGTGAGAACTTTCTGGAACTGTACTTTTTATTTTGGATCGTTATTAATTATTGACTCTGTTTTATTAATAGTTACATGTCATTTAAATTGACAATTCATTGTATGAATTTCAGCAGGTTGTGTCTTTCAAGAAAACAATCCAGTCCATGTTGATTATCACATTTGGAACATAGAATTGCTCATACAATTCTATTATTTTAATGTTCATAGAATCTGTAATAATGTCTCCTTGTTCTTTTCTGATTTTAGGAATTTATCTTTTCTCATCTAGAGACTTTTATTTTTAAAGTTTTTGGTTTAAACAAATTAGCCTATTGTTTTCCCCAACTGTTATACACCAATACAGAAAACCACAAAAATTAAATATTTGCCTTTCATTGTTTTTGAAAAATGTCCTGAAGAAAAGTTTTTTCCCCACTAAGTTCAAAATAATATCAAAAGAGGGCAACATTGTAAGTAGAATCTTCCAGTGAGTCACCAGACATGTCAAAGAATGACACATCTCTGAGAATGAGCTATGACAGAACTTCAGCTCCTTTCTGCCCCATCTTGTGACTGCCAAACTGCTGGTTTTGCTCTGACTGCAGGCTGTGGGTTTTCAACACTACATGGAGTTGAAGGGTGGGAGGAGTGTGAATGCATTAAGCCAAAATCCTTCAAAGTTAGCTGTTCTCACCAAGAATCAGACGTTTTATTCTTTAATAAATATTCCCCAGATTGTTGCAAACAATCTTGGATAAATTTTCAGAGTCTGGAAAAATTAATTCTGATAATTTTTTAAACCAGTTCTTCCATTGATTGTATGGGAGAGATAATTTTTAGAGATCAGTATCTTAGAATTTTTGTTGACATCATCCACTCTTCTGCATTAAAGTATATTAAAATAGATTCTAAACTTATCTTGGAAATTTGAAAGTCTTAAAGATGATCATTGCAAAGGTGCCCCTGCTGATTTCTTTGCAAATACAAATGCTCTGCTGAAGAAAACTCTGCTCAGCCTTTCACTAGTAAATACAGTTTATAGATACAGCTCCAGCAAATGGAAGTTTAAGTAGCAGTCAAAAAAGGAAAGCCTTATAAAGTTTTGGCAAGGACACTTTAGGGGCACAAACTGGAAACTGATTTTTTGCCAAAATGTGAATGGGGCCTAAATTTGTAATATGCATCACTAGTTGCATCTTACATTAATGTTATGTTTCCTTATGTCTCTATTTTGTCACTTCAAAAATGTTCTCTATATTAAGAAATAAAA